GTTAGAAAGAAGTTTTGGTTTTTTTTCGTTACAACAACTAAATGTCATGAACATTTTTTTTTTTTTTTTTTTTGTTGTGTGTAATGCGGTCGTATGCAAAATGTCATCATTATATTCAGATAAGCTAACCTAAACGATCACAAAATTCATTGTCTGGAAAAGTTTATTTGAGAGTAGTATTGTACCGCATACCACCTAATATGGGCTTTAAGGCACTAATGATAGCTATTAATTTTAATGCCTGGCAATGTAATTAACTAACAAAACTCTTCTTCATCCAGATAAAAACATTACAGACTACAACTAATATTATTATTAATAGTAATTATTATTAATAATTCAAAAGTTCTGTAACGATAGTAATTTAATGAAGCAATAAAAATTTTGGAAAAAAAACAATAATAATAATAAATAAAAACTAACAAATGGATCTATAAAAGCTTGACATAGTGCAGTACGTGTCTTTTTGGCAATATTAAATAATGGAACACAACTTGATACATTCCTTGACATCTGTAATTGCATTAACATTTTGTTATGGATAAATTTAATTAACCAATTAAAAAGTTTCGAAATTTTTTACCTAATTAATTAGTTATCATAGAAAAAACTTCACTTCACATCATTCCTTTTATTTCCTGATTTATTACAATAACTTACAACAATAGGAGAAGGGGTTTGCAAAAATTTGAAATCTAAATGAAAATTAAATTTTCAGTACTTACAGTAAAAACGATCAGAAATATTTTTAAATAAAATTCTTGCTGAAAACTCTTAGCTAGTTCATATCTTATTATAGATTAATGTATGTCGCAGCGTCATTTCAATCAATTAAGGCTAACTACATCCTATTATAGACCAAATTAATGCAGAAGAGCCGTCTACATCAATTATTCGAATCCCCAAGGGTTCATTCGTCTGACTAAATCATAGTTGAGATCTCTTCCCGATGCTTTTCTTAATTTTTTTGTTTTCCTCATTTAACCTTCTCATAACAATTTTTATGATAGCAGTGCTTAAATCAAAAAATTAAAATCAGAACTACAAAAATTTGTTGGGCTTTTATTTATTCTAAATGCTTTTGAAATTTCCTTTTTTTCTTTGTAAGTTTTATGAAAATACTATTTGTACCTTGACAGTATTTTGTTTCACTATGTTTTTTTCTAATTTTCAACTTTTTTACTTCCGGAAATCCTTTCAATTTGCTAATAAATAGTAATCCAATTACATCATATTTCCATTAGCAATAAGACAAATACAAATAATATATCAAATACCAATTTTTCAAATCATTTTTTAAGTGATATCTGATCATATCACTCTGATACAAAATTTCATCCTTACGAAAAAAAAAGGAAACTTTTAGCAAATACTGATAGTTCCTGTTGGTTTAAATTTAAATTTAATATTTCAAATTTTATCAAATTTTCATGTTTTTTTTTTTTTTTTTGGGAATTTCAAACCTGTATGCGAACATGCTCCATATATTTTCCAATTTGTTGTTCCATTTCTTGCACTAATTGATCAGCAGCTGCTCGAAAATATTCATTCAAATTTGATGATAGCAATGCTTGCGCATGTTGCAATTTAGCCGATAATGTAACACTGGGTATTGCAATCCGTGCCAACCGATCGTTTAATTCAGTGAGCATTTTTAATGCACTGGCAAGATTTAGCAGTATCGGATTTACATGTTTTATCTAAACAAATAATTAATAATTATCAATCCACTTTGAAAATTTAT